AAAGTGAGATGAGGATTTCACAGTACTAGAAAATACTTTTCGCTAATGAAGTAGTAATTATGGCTACCATTTTTTGCATATTTTAATTTGCCTGGCATTGTGCGTAAGCTCCTAAGATAATTAACTCATTTTTCATTCTCAAAACAACCATGAGAAAAGGGGAGATACTATTTTCCATTTACAGATGAATAAACTGAGGTTTACATAGGATTAGATAAATTAGCCAAGGTCACATGCTGGTAAAGGTTTAGAGCCAGGGGATTTCAAAACCAAGTCTGTCCCATGCAAAACCATTTTCTTAATAGATACCTACTTTATAGAAGAGATAGCATTCAGATATTTTAAAGGATGAAAAAAGTTTTTCAGGCAGAGATTGGAGGAAAGGATGATCCAGGTAAACAGAAACAAACACTAAATGAAATCAAAAAGGTTGGAAATGCATAGGGTTATTTTTGGATACAGCACACACACACACAGTTCCTGGGAATATGAGATATATGCAACGTGAGCCTAGAGAGTAAGTCTGGAAAGACTGGAGACAGATTTTTTTTTTTTTTTTTTTCTGAGACAGAGTCTCACTTTGTTCCCAGACTGGATGAGTGCCATGGCGTTCCAGCCTAGGCTCACAGCAACCTCAAATCCTGGGCTCAAGCAATTCCTGCTGCCTCAGCTCCCAAGTAGCTGGGAAACTACAGGCATATGCCACCATGCCCAAGTAATTTTTCTATATGATTAGTTGGCAATTTAATTTCTTCCTATTTATAGTAGATGACGGGGTTCTCGCTGGTGTTTTTTTTTTTATGGTTATGATGTTTTTATTTTTTTCTTGTACATTTTCAGGTAGGCAAAGTGTTGTCCCACTTTTTATTTACTACATTTTCTTTTTTTTTTTGAAAATGATAATAAAAACATGTTTTAATCTATTACAATATATTCAAACAATAAAATAAACATATCCAAACACCCTTCACAAACACTAGATATAGATCTCTAAAGAAAAGAAAATCTTTAACAAAAAATTGTGTTTTCTCATTTTTAGGTATATTTTCACCAAATGGACAGTACTAACTTTTGCATAGACTAGTTATTATCTGAAAATTATTTTAAGATAGACTTGTATTTCCTTTTACAGAATTTTTTTTTAAGGTGTTGAAAACTGAAAATACCACGGAATTAGTGGTCTTTAGAATTATAATTTCCCAGAGTCCTTTTGATTCCTAATACTTTGTGAATGTTTTTTTTTTTTTTGGCATATTGATGGGGGTCAAATTTTAAGGTTTCAATTAAATGCCCATTTCCCCCCTCCCCCCAGAAGTCTGAGTCTCCAGCATCGGACCCAGTCTCCCAGATGGTGCAATCTCCACTTCATTATATATGGTATATACCCTTCCCCCCTCTCCCCTGCCCAATACCCTATTTACTGCAGTACCTATGTGACCACTTAGGGTTGCTGTTCAGTTAACCAATTTGCTTGGTGAGTATATGTGGTGCTTGTTTTTCCATTCTTGGTAAACTTCACTTAATAGTTATGGGTTCAGCTCATAACCAGGAAATTATAAGATGTGGCTAATCACCAGTGTTTCTTAGAGCTGAATACTACTCCATGTATACATATAGCACCATTCTATTAATCCATTCTTGGATTGATGGGCACTTGGGTGTTTCACAGCCTTGAAATTAATGAATTGTGATGCTATAAACTTTTCGGAGTGCAGGTGTCTTTTTTGTAGAGTGTCATTGGATCCGTTTGGATAGATGCCCAGCAATGGGCATTGCTGGAATCAAATGGTAGATCACTTGTACGCTTAAGGTATCTCCTATTGCTTGTCCACAGAGGTTGAACTAATTTGGCAGTCCCACCAGCAGTGTAGGAGTATAGAATTTTTAATTTCCATTTGATTTCATTCATTTATGAAGTAATCTTTATTAGGAGGTTGTTTAATTTCCACGTTTTTATGTAGAAATGTGAGTTTCTGTTAGGGTTTGATTTTTGACTTATTATTCCACTGTTGATCTGAGAAGATACATGGTATGATTTCTTTTTTATAAATTTCTTGAGGTTTACTTTTGTGTCCTAGGATATGGGTCAAGTCTTAGGAGATGTTTCCCGTTGAGCTGATGAGAAGAACGTATAGTCAGTGGATTTTGGGTAGAATGTTCTGTAAATGTCAGTCAACCCAATTGTTCTAGGAGTTTTGTTTAAGTGATTATTTTTTATTAATTTTCTGTTTGGAGGATCTGTCTCTGTGCCGTCAGTGGGGTATTGAAATCTCGGTGATTATGAGTTGCTATGTTAATCCATTTTGCTTAGGGTCCAGTAAAGTTTGCTTTATGAATCTGGGTGCACCATAAGTTGGGTGCATATATATTTAAAATTGTTATCTCTTCTTGTTGAACTGTGCCCCTTCACCATTATAGTAATGACCTCTTTGTCTTTCACTACTTTTGTTGGTTTAAAAACTAAATCGTCTGAAATAGAACTGCCACACCAGCCTTCTTTTGGCTCCAATTGCCTGGAATACTGATCTCCACCCTTTTACTTTTAGTCTATATGCATCCTTGCAGGTAGATGTGTTTCCTGAATTACAGCATAGGACTCTGGCCTGTATTTTCTTATCCATTCAGCCACGCTATGTCTCTTAAGTGGAGAGTTTAAGCCATTCACATTTATTGAAAGAACTGATAGGTAAGGTAAATTACTGTTCATTCTGTTGGGGTTGGATGTTGTTGCTTTTGATTCTCTCTTGAGCCATTGGTACTATCGGCCTTTAATCTTTGGGTTTTGGTTGTTTTTATAGTCGTGGTTTTTATTATGGTTTTCCGTGCGTAACCACTGTTTTTTGAGTACTGCTTGTAGGGGCTGGTCTTGTCTTGGTGATTCTCTGAGACTTGCTTTGTCTGAGAATGCTTTATTTCTCCTTCATATATGAAGCTTAGTTTTGCAGGGAAAAAGATTCTAAGGTGGGCATCTGTTTTGTTTTCAGAAGAGTGAGAATGGGGCCCAGTCTCTCCTGCTTGTAAAGTCCATTAGAGAATCTTGTGTTATTCGAAATTGGCTTTTCCCTTGTATGTCACTTGTTCCTTTGTCTTACAGCTCTTAGACGCCTCTTTAGTTGACTATTTTGTCAGTCTAATGACTGCATGTCGTGACGTCTGCCTGTTTGCATTGAATCTCCCATGGGTTCTCTGAGCTTCTTGAACTTGTAATAATCGGAGATTTTGAGCAAGGCCTGGGAAATTTTCCTCTATTATATCTTCAAATAGCTTGGTCCAACCTTTGGGTGTTGTTCTGTCCTCTTCTGGTAACCCTATTGACCCTCACATTAGGTTTCTTCACATAATCCCACATCTCTTGTAGGCTTTGCTCTTTTCCTTGTTTCTCTGCTCTATCTCTGTGATGGTTTTATTTAGTTGGAGGTGTATTCTTCAATCTCTGAAATACTTTCTTCTGTTTGATCTACCCTGTTCTTGAGACTTTTCTACTGTATTTTGTAGTTCCCTGAATTGATCTTCATTTCCATGAGTTCGGTTAAACTTTTTTCATTGTGTCCATTTCTTTCCAGATCTGGAGGCTTTTTGTGATTTCTTTGGTTGGTTATTGAGTTGTTGTTGCAGCTCGGTGGAGTTCTTATGATCCACATACGGAATTCCTCTTCTGTCATTTTGGTTGCCTGATTTGGGTTGGTGTCCGTTTCGTTAGGGGTGCTGGTGCTCCTCTTTGGGTGTGTTTTCCGTTTGGTTCTTATTTCCTGAGTTTTCGGCTGATTTCTTCCATGTCGATCAGTTGTATGTTTCTTTCCTTTTAGGTTATTGTTTGGGTTATTCACACACCTTGTTTATAGTTTCTGAGGCGTTAGGTGGTGTCTGTGGGTGGAGATTTGGACCACTCCCTGTATATTGAGTAGCGGGTGCCATGAAAAGGCTGTGCAAGATGCCGTCCTGTCAGTAGGTGGCGTTTGCTTGGAGAACAGGGCTATGCTGTTGATTTGTGTCCTGTTCATCAGGCTCTTGTTCTGAGCGGAGCTGAGTTGCTATTAAAAGATCGGCACCATGCACTCCAGCCAGGGAAACCTTGTCTTTAAAATAAAATAATAGTTATTCATGATACTTTCAAAAAAAAGATCTGATCCAAAAAACATGAAAGCTGATCATCACAATTGAGTAATTCTTCTGGCATACCCACCTAAAATACAGTTGAGAAGCCAGGGGAAAAAACACTCAGGCGCAACAAAACATTGCCTCCAAAAATATAATTTTCTATAATCCCTGACTGGTAAAACTGCCTACTATAACCTACAACAAATTTTATCTAATGATAATAAAACTACCCTGCTACAACCTCTAATTTCACTCACTCTGTAGTCACTCACCAATCACAGCTTCAACTCCCCAAAACCTTATAGTGCCAATAAACTTTCCTGAAGAATATGTAGCATTTCTCCTTCTTACACCTCTATCCCCTCTCCTTTAACTTCAGACATACCAAATACCACCTCGTCTACATGTATGCCCAAATTAGTTCTTTCTTCGCAAATAAAACATTTAATTCAAAACTTCATTTCTGGGCCAGGCCCAGTGCTCATGCCTTTAATCCTAGCATCCTGGGAGGCTAGGCGGGTGGATTGCTAGAGGTCGAGAGTTGAAACCAGCCCTGAGCACAGAGCAAGACCTGTCTCTATTAATAAATAGAAAGAAATTAATTGGCCAACTAATACATATATAGAAACAAATTAGCCGGGCATTGGTGGCGCCATGCCTGTAGTCCCAGTACTCAGGAGGCTGAGGCAGAAGGATTGCTGGCCCAAGAGATTGAGGTTGCTGTGAGCTAGGCTGACACCACAGCACTCACTCTAGCCTGGGCCAAGCAAGCGAGACTTCTGTCCCAAAAAAAAAAAAAAAATTCATTACTGTATTTTCACTTCAACACAGATTTTTAACATTTAAAGCTATTTTTATTTTAATTGGCAAATAAAAATTATATATGCTTGTAGTGTATATGTTTTGAAATATTTCTACATTATGGAATAGCTAAATAAAGCTAACACATGCACCTTTCAGCTTTTCAATCACTAACGTCTTATCTATTTGTCAAAGGCCGACGAAAATTTCGTGAGATTAAAGCTTTTCCTTAGCCTTGCACTCATTTTAAATGTTGGGAAACAACAAAACAGTCTCGACCAGCCTCCCCCAAACTATACCACACTCTTGTCTAGTAACCCCACGCAACCAGGAAACGCGGCGTCACAGGCAAGTGCCCCCTTCCGGAAGAATTCGGGCCTTCAACCCGGAAGTGAAGAGCGAAGGCGCGCAGTATTCTGGGAAGAGTTACGCTGGCGAGTTTGAGGTTGTTAGCTGTTACCGGGGCAACCGGAGGCGATTGACAGTTATCTGCGGTTTGGAGCCGTTAGCGAGAGAGGCTGAGATGCTCAGAGATCTTTTGCGATGAGCGACAGGGTCATGAGAACCCTCTTAAAAGAAGACTGTTCTACCAGGAGGTTATCCGTGGTTCCCCGCAGTAGAACTGCCGGACCTGGGCATCTGGTCGCGCCCTCTTGTTTTTGTTTGAGTCAGTCTTTTAGAGTAAATGAAGTGTGGCCCAGTAGCTCCTCACTGTCTCTTCTCTAGTTTTCTGCCTCCTTTTCGAAAATGTAAGTTGAGTTTCTAATTTACATCATAATGTGCGCTAATGTGCTTGTTTTTAAAATTATGGAAAATAAAAAAGAAGAAAATAAAATTCATCCAGCTACACAGAAGTAACCAGCTACATGAAATAAATTTTCATGTATTACCTATCAATTTTTCTTCTCTGTATAAATATTTTTGACATAGTTGAGTTTCTTTGGGGATAACCATTTTGTGTCCTGCTTTTATAGATATATAGATATATATATAATATAATTTTGGTATTAAAATCTTAGCAACAGTGAAGTCATTGAAGACCTTAATGTAAATCTGTTTGCAGTGAATTGAAAAGACAGAGATGAAGATGAAGTGGATGTGGCACGTGGAGACAATTCTTTCAAGAAGTTTGGCTGTAAAGGAAAAAAGAGGAGGTCAGTAGCCAGAGGAGAATGGCAAGTGAAACAAAGAAATTGGTATTTTTCTTTAAGGAGGAGAGAATGATGTTTATTAGTACATGAAAAAAAAAAAAAAGCAGTGATAGGAAGAGACTTAAAGATACTGCCAAAAAAGAGGATAACTGACTGACTCCCTAAATAAATAGGAGGAGATGGGATTCGTAGATCAGGTACCAAAATTAGTTTATATTGGAAGTGGAACTGGAAAGAGGATGTGGGTGTTAATTAGAAGCTTTAACAAGCTTTAAGAACTATTTTTTAAAATGTGTTTTATAGATATGTATTATTTATTGATGTCTCCCTACTCTCATAAAAGATTGAATATGTTTTAAAAAGATGCACACTATAATAGGATAAAATGATTGAAAGAGAAAATCAAGGCAAAGGTAATTGGAAAACAAAATAAAGCCAGAGGCATGTTAATACCCCTAAAAAATTTATGCCCAAATGTCCTGTGTAATTGCTGGAGGCTACCATAAATTGGGCTCTGAGTCTCCTAACAACTAAAGCAAATGAAAAATACAGTTATAAGTTTCACATGGTCCATAAGATATTTTTTGGCTGGGTGAGGTGGCTCACACCTGTAATCCTAGCACTCTGGGAGGCCAAGGCAGGAGGATTGCTTGAGGCCAAGAGTTCGAAACCAGCCTGAGCAAGAGCAAGACCCCATCTCTACTAAAAATAGAAAGAAATTAGCTGGACAACTAAAAATATATAGAAAAATATAGAAATAAAAGTATATGGAAATATATAGAAAAAATTAGCCGGGCATGGTGGCGTATGCCTGTAGTCCCAGCTATTCCCAGGACTGAAGGCTGAAGCAGGAGGATCGCTTGAGCCCGGGAGTTAGAGGTTGTTGTGAGTAGGCACTCTAGACCAGGTGACAAAGCAAGACTCGGTCTCAAAAAAAAAAAAAAAAAAAAGATTTTTTTTTAAGTTGCTTAAGAAAAGCATAGTTTTTGTATAAAAGCCTGCAAAAAATTTCTCTCATGGTTCTCATAAGGGAATAATGTGATATTCACTGTTACTATTGTGTTTTCTATTTTTGTAGAATTTAGGAACATCTCAGAAAGTTTAGACTCATATTCATTAACTCAGCAATTATAAGTTCTTATTAAATGCTGTAAGAAATATAAACATATATAACACAAAGTCCCTACCCTCATCTATTATGTAACAATAATTATAATACGTAATAGCATATTTATAATATAGCTAAAATATATTTATAATAGCTAGTAAGATGAATAATTAGTATCATGAACACTAGAATAATTAATGTGAATAACTATAAATCAAAAAAGTATTTGAGGCCGGGCGCAGTGGCTCACGCCTGTAATCCTAGCACTCTGGTAGGCTGAGGCGGGAGGACTGCTTGAGGTCAGAAGTTCGAAACCAGCCTGAGCAAGAGCAAGACCCCGCCTCTACTATAAATTTCTTGTTGAACTGTCGCCCTTCACCATTATATAATGACCTCTCTTTGTCTTTCACTACTTTTGTTGTTTAAAAACTAAATCGTCTGAAATTAGAACTGCCACACCAGCCTTCTTTTGGCTTCCACTTGCCTGGAATACTGATCTCACACCCTTTTACTTTTAGTCTATATGCATCCTTGCAGGTTAGATGTGTTCCTGAAGACAGCATAGACTTGGCCTGTATTTTCTTATCCATTCAGCCAGCCTATGTCTCTTAAGTGGAGAGTTTAAGCCATTCACATTTATTGAGAGAACTGATAGGTAAGGTAAATTACTGTTCATTCTGTTGGGTTGGATGTTGTTGCTTTGATTTCTCTCTTGAGCCATTGTACTATCTGGCCTTTAATCTTTGGGTTTTGGTTGTTTTTATATTCGTGAGTTTTTATTATGGTTTTCCGTGCGTAACACTGTTTTGAGTACTTCTTGTAGGGCTGGTCTTGTCTTGGTGAATTCTCTGAGACTTTGCTTGTCTGAGAATGTCTTTATTTCCTTCATATATGAAGCTTAGTTTTGCAGGAAAAGATTCTAGGGTGGGCATTGTTTTTTTCAGAAGAGTTGAGAATGGGGCCCCAGTCTCTCTCTTGCTTGTAAAGTCTCATTAGAGAAATCTGGTGTTATTCGAATTGGCTTTCCCTTGTATGTCACTTGCTTCCTTTGTCTTACAGCTCTTAGAAGGGCCTCTTTAGTTGATATTTTGGTCAGTCTAATGACTGCATGTCGTGACGTCTTCCTGTTTGCATTGAATCTCCCAGGGGTTCTCTGAGCTTCTTGAACTTGTATATCGAGATTTTGAGCAAGGCCTGGAAATTTTCCTCTATTATATCTTCAAATAGCTTGTCACCTTTGGGTGTTGTTCTGTTCCTCTTCTGGTAACCCTATGACCCTCACATTAGGTTTCTTCACATAATCCCACATCTCTTGTAGGCTTTGCTCTTTTCTCTTTGTTTCTCTGCTCTATCTCTGTGATGGTTTTATTTAGTTGGAAGGTGTTATCTTCAATCTCTGAGAATCTTTCTTCTGTTTGATCTACCCTGTTCTTGAGACTTTCTACTGTATTTGTAGTTCCCTGAATTGATCTTCATTTCCAGGAGTTCGGTTAAACTTTTCTTCATTGTGTCCATTTCTTTTTCCAGATCCTGGAGGCTTTTTGTGATTTCTTTGTGTTGGTTATTGAGTTGTTGTTGCAGCTCGGTGAGTGTTCTTATGATCCACATACGGAATTCCTCTTCTGTCATTTTGGTTGCCTGATTTGGGTTGGTGTCCGTTCTAGGGGCTGGTGCTCCTCTTTGGGGTGTGTTTTCCGTTTGGTTCTTCATATTTCCTGAGTTTTCGCTGATTTCTTCCCATGTCGATCAGTTGTTGTTTCTTCTTTAGGTTATTGTTTGGGTATTCACACACCTTGTTTAGTTTCTGAGGCGTTAGGTGGTGTCTGTGGGTGAGATTGGACCACTCCCTGTATATTGAGTCAGCGGGTGCCATGAAAAGGCTGTGCAAGATGCCGTCCCTGTCAGTAGGTGGCGTTTGCTTGGAGGAACAGGCTATGCTGTTGATTTTGTGTCCTGTTATCAGCTCTTGTTCTGAGCGGAGCTGAGTTGGGTAAGCCTGCCCTCAGGCAGTTAGCAGGGGTCAAAGTTCTGTTCTCTGCTTCCAGCTTCCAGGAAAACCTGTCAGGGTGGAGCTGGAATGGTCTCGCTCAGCCAGAAAGTCTTCTTGTGGGGTGGGCTGTCTGAGACCCACAGTCTGGAGCAGGCCTCGCTTCTTTCCACCCTCCCAACTCCGCAGCTACTCCTAGGTCTCTGCCAGCAGGCCAGACACACGCCACCAGTCCTCCCCGGATTGTGATGCCGCCGAGGAGGTTCCCTGCGCAGAAACACTGCCTCCCTTTGGTGGGAGGGTTGCCCTCTAGGACGCTGATCTGCCCCTGGAGGCACACACACCTCAGCGGGCTGTTCACAAATATCCCTTCTGTGCCCGGGGTATGCTAGACCTCGGTGCACGGATCTGGTCTGCAGGTCCAACCTCTGGGTCCCAGAGTTCAAACTGTATCCCCACCAGGGAAAGAAGTTCCGGTCCCAATTCACCCACAGGGAGCCCAAGCTGTGTCTGTATCTCTCAGCCTCTGAGTCAGCACCGTTCTCCTGGGAACACGTGCCAGCAGCACCTGGGAGGGCTGGCGGGTAGGGAGCTCACAGTCTGAGTTCCCTTAGTCAGCTGTAGGGTCCCAAAAGGGAAGGTCCCGTTCCCTGGAGGTGCCTCTGGCTGGTGGCTGTATTGTCTCTCTGGGCAGCCGTAGGTAGGGTCGGCGGAGGGAGGAGGAGGCAATATGGCGCCTGCGCTCGGCTCGGGTCTGTGCACACAGAGGTGCCCCGAGGGATTTGGAGTCTGGTGCCGTGTCCACTACAGGCTCATCGCTAGCTGGCGGCGGCGTCTCTGGGCTGGTGTCCGCAGGTCTCTCCACCCGCTGGGAAGCCCACCAGCAGTCCCAAATGCAGGGGAGGGGAAAGGTGATTTATCCACCTACACTTCCCGCTGGTCTCCGGGCTGCTCCGGCGCTCTCAGCTTCCAGTTCTCCTCGCAGCCTCCTCCCGTGGAATCTCCCGGGGTCTCAGGTAACCCTCCTTCTGGCCTCGTCTGCTGTATGCTCGCCTTCTTGCTTCTTTTTCTAATTTCTGCTAGAATTCTGTCTTTTTCTGCAGAGACACTCTTTCTGGTGGTGTTTCTCGTCCGCCATCTTGATCCTGACTCTGGAGACAGATTTTTAAGACATATAATACAATGCCAGTCTAATAAGTTTATCTTTTTATACAGGAGTCATTGGTTTAAGCTGTTTTTTAAGAATCATAATCTTCTAGAACTTCCCAGGAAAGTTCACTTCACTTAGGGCCGGGGTCCTCAAACTTTTTAAACAGGGGGTCAGTTCACTGTCCCTCAGACCATTGGAGGGCCGGAGTATAGTTTAAAAAAAACTATGAACAAATACCTATGCACACTGCACATATCTTATTTTGTTGTTTGTTTTGTTTTGTTTTGTTTTGTTTTGTTTTGTTTTGAAGCAGAGTCTCACTTTGTTGCCTAAGCTAGAGTGAGTGCTATGGCATCAGCCTAGCTCACAGCAACCTCAATCTCCTGGGCTCAAGTGATCCTTCTGCCTCAGCCTCCCAAGTAGCTGGGACTACAGGCATGTGCCACCATGCCTGGCTAATTTTTTTTGTATATATATTTTTAATTGGTCAATTAATTTCTTTCTATTCTTAGTAGCGACAGGGTCTTGCTCAGG